TACCAGCTCATGTTTATTGGGTTTTAATAGAGTCCTTAGATCTGACGATGCAAAACTCCTTTAGGTTAGATTAATAAACCTCTCAAGCCTTAACTCGTCATACTGGCGGCATCACTCTTCAGGTAGTAGGGTAGTATCTGCCTGGCCCCTCTTTGTTATGTTTCGTTTTTATCGTCGGAATCCTACAATGTTGTTCATTGCCATTGCATTGGAGCTTTTGTCCTTGTGGCATTTACAGTAGTTTAGTTGGGTGTCACCTCCTTGCTTCGGTAGGGATACCTTTGACCCTGAAAAACCTTACCCTCAAGTGGCTGTTATTGTTACCTATGGTTGTGTGAGACAATTGGCTGGCAGACACTACACATGTCTGTATATTTGGGTAGTTCGATTGTGGATTGTGGTTGGCCCGCTTCAACCATTGCTAGTAGAGTCCATTTTCTGTTTTTCTGCTTCTGTTTACTCACCCTTCCCCTTCAGGTCACATTGGTTGGAAGTGCCTCTTGCCCATTGTTTGGTTTGTGCCTATTGCCAAACCTGTGCAGCTAGCTTTGGCTGGCTCAGCTTAATCTTTCCCGACTGGTTTTGACCTCAGTTTGGGTTGGTTGGAGGCTGTGGCTGGTACCAGTACCTTCTGGTATGTGTACTGCCTCCTTCATGGCTCTCGGCTATCCCTGGTGGGCCCCGCTTGGCTATGCGATGTAGGGGGTTGGGGCTCTATTGGTATGGACCAGCCCAGTGGCTGCCTCATAGGGCTAGGTATGGGCTGTCCCATAGCTGTCAGATAGTTGATCTGTCTGAGGCGCTGAGGGGGCTGGATAGGCTCTCTGATATCTGGTGTGTGTGGCTTGGGGGGGCTGATTGGGCGGGAGAAGCACCTGTAAGCACTGGTCGGGCTCAGGTCAGGTTGGGCTGAGTCTAAATAAATCTTTCCAGTCTAGCTTGGGCAGTTGGGTGAAGCTGCTAAGTGCTGTAAAGCTGCCTGATGGACCAACTAAATTGATGGCCACCTGTGCGGATAGTGTGTTATGACTACCTGGTTAGACTTGTTTGGGTCTTGTGTATTGAGTTTTGTGAGGTTTGTTTGGTTGCTTTAATTTGGCTACAGGTATGATGGGAGGAGGGAAGGTCTCATGGGTGAGAGATAGGCCCCACTGGCTCTTTCTATTTATTACTACCTCTATGTATATCTTTTGTTTGTTGTGTTGGTTTGGTTTATTGGCAGCAGGTCCAAACATGTCCAACCAGGTGGTTGCAACCCACTATCCACACAGGTGGTCATCAACCAGCCGGTCCATCAGGGAGCTTACAGTACTCAGCAACTTCACCCAACAGTCCAAGCCAGACTGGAAACACTTAATTAGACCTCACCCAACCTGCCGCAGGTCTGACGAGTGCTTGCAAGCACCTCTCTCCCTCCAATCAGCCCCCCCCAAGCCCTACACACCAGAGGCCACAGAGCCCATTCAGCCCCCCCAGCTCCTCAGACAGATCAACCATCCAATAGCCACAGGACAGCACATACCTCGCCCCATCAGGCAGCCACTCGTCTTGGCCACACTAATAGAGCCCTGGCCCCCAGTATTTCATAGCCGAGGGGGCCTACCAGTCACAGCTGAGAGCCACAAGGGAGGCAGCACCAGTACCCAAAGGCAACAGCACCAGCCATACCATCCAGCCCAGTCGAACCGAAGTCCAACCAAGCTGGGAGAGAGTAGGCAGAGCCCGCCAAAGCCAGCTCCACAGGTCCAGCCACAAGCACAGACCGAACGACGGGCAAGAGGCACCACCAACTGACACGACAAGAAGGGAGAAGGCGAGCGAACAGTAGTCGACAAACAGAAGGTTGGCCCCACTTGCAATGGGTGAAGCTGCCAACCATAGTCCACAACCGAACCATCTAAACACACAGACAACGCGAGTGTCTGACAGCCAATCGTCCCACACCACTCCAGGCAGCAATGAAAAACCACACCAGGGGGTAAGATTTTTCAGGGTCAAAGCCATGCCCGCCGAGGCGAGGAGGAGACACCTGACTGAATCACAGTAAATGCTACAAGGATAGAAACTCCAAGGAAACAGTGATAAACAACTTGGTAAGATTCCGACCGTAGAAACGAAAACGTAACGAGGAGGAGCGGGGCGGGCACCCCCCTGCTACCTGAGGAATGATGTGGCCGGTACGACGAGTTGAAGCTTGGGAAGGTCATCAGTCTAACCCAAGGGTGTTTTGTATCGTGACAACTAAGGACTCCATTAAAACCCAATACAAACATGAGCTGGTCCAAAGAACGACATGGGTGATCCCCTCAAACACCATGTTCGATCCCCCTTAATTGAACGCGAAACCTGCGAGTAGACTATAGACAGGAAGCCGAAGACATTTTACCAAAACGGGCTCGTAAGCGACCTTGATGAATAGCTCAAAGTGCCAGCATCAGGAGATAGCTAACAGGCAACTAAACGAGAAGCAAACCAGTAATCTGCCATGAAACGCTTAACAAACCTCAAGACTAAGAACCCCAGAAACTACTGACCAAACTCCAATATCTCCCCCAGAATCCAAGGTATCAAGGCCCATCATGGATGCGAAAGAAACACACGGGACGAAGCGATGGCAAGGATGAGGAAAAGTACTTAGAACAAAGCATGAAGAACCTATCCTCCTCAGCCGTATTAGCCTCCTTATATAGTGTTCTTCCCACCTGTAGTCATGTGACCCAAAGTGGTCACATGTGTAAAACCAAATCATAACAAACTAATCATGTGACCAAAGTAGTCACATGCTTAAAACCCATAACCTCATAGCAAGGTCATGTGCGAAAACTCATAAACGAATCATAACACAATCAACAAGTCATATGACTCGAATGAGTCATATGCGCGAAACCCATGACCTCATAAGGAGGTCATGTGCAAAACATAAATCATATGCATAAGACATACCCGCAAGGCACACTTGCCAGGCACACTTGCCAGGTACATGTCCCCTAACTCATAATCGAGTTATGTGCAAAACATAACATAATATATCATATGACCCAAATGAGTCATATGCATAAAACAATAACGTACCTATGACTTATAATCATGAGTCATGTGAAAACCCTTTCCGTGCCAAGTCACTTTCATGACACCTCGCTCGGTAAGTTGGCTTTCCTCTGAGTCTATATGCTTAGGCTTTACATATTTCTTGTGTTTTGAGATTTTCGGTGGATTGCCGGAGCAGTCAGTAGGGGTGTCCCAGGATTATTGAGTGGGGATAGTTGGGCAGGCTTCTACTGTATAGGTGGTCATTACCAGGTCATATTCAAACGGCAGTAGTAGAATTTTGTTTTTTGGTATGGGTAACTTGGCTGGCAGATAGGCTGGCCTGAGGAGGAGGATTTTCTTTACCTTTGAGTGTTTTATATTTAGTGTTTGTATTGGGGTATGACAATGGTATGTTGAAGGTATCGGGCTGAATGTTTAGTTAGTTCATAGCTAGTGGTAGTTCTTGTTTACACTAACCCACTACTGGCGGGGACTTGTTATATGCCAGCGTTTGCAGTACAAGTATAAATTAAATTAGATAGACTGTTTTAAGTAATTTCCTTACTTATTACTTTATATGAATAAAACATCTTTACCCTCTTTATTCTTTACATTTCTTACGAGCCTAAGGTAATATTTCTATATAATACAATAATAGGGTTTAGCTAAGTGACTGTTACTAAGGTAAACTAAAAGGCCTAAGAACTATTTAAGGAAGAAGATATATATATATTAAGAAAAGGTATTGTTGCCTGTTGCTATATGTTAACAGGGACTTAAAAAGCTTATAATGAGAGGCATTCTCCTATCCACTGTATTCATCATTACAGTTGTAATGAGTTAGTATCTAGTTTATATGTTGAGTAAAATGTTGTATCCCTTTTTCTTTTCTTGGGAGGTTGGAGGACTATCACTGATCTCGTACATAGTGCTGACACTGAAATTCTGATCTTTGGAAATTTATTAGAATTTCCATCCTCCTGAGAATGATAGACCTTGAACTGCATAACATTTCTTGCAGGTGGTATGTGTATATGCCAGTAGTAGCATTGTATTATACTTTAAATATAAGTAAGTTACTGTTCATGATTACTCATTCCACTAAATAGTTTACAAACCTGTAATACTTTTGTGCAATAATATTCAAGTGTGTGAATGATAATACTTCTACATACTATGTTGTGGATGAATCCTTATTTTTTGATTATACCCTCTTTTCTTTCTTCTTCTTCAATATTTTATTCTAACTACTTTAGATATTCATAGGAACAATTTTTAATGCTTGACAACAACCTGCCCGCTCCTGGGATGACTACTTTATTCAACCTCCTCAAGTCGGTAACATGTATGTATAAGAGGATATAATATTAGATAAACTAGAAGATGAGAGCCCTGTCAAATATTAACTTTACATAACATTATGGAAATAATATTATTATATAATTACGAGTTATTGAACGATTTGAAACCCCTTCATGTTCATATTATGTATCGCGTCTTAGCAGTAAAGAGCATTGTATTAAAAGGATTTTAAGAAGAGTAATTTGTAAAATTTAGTAAAATACAGGGGCATCTTGTCAAATAACCGAAAATGCAAATATTAAAACTAATTGTTATTGATATTAAATAACAAATTATATTGGGAAAATTAAATGCAACTTGGGAACTTTTATTCGGTGGAATTATCAATCATTGTTAAGCCACAAAAAAAATATCGGGAGCCGCAAAAAAGTTCTGTTGGGCACAAAAAGTTGTAAAAATTTAATTCTGTTGAGCCGGCAGCCATTCTGGAAGAGTGCCCCCAGGTTGTGAGCAACTGTGGGGGTTGTGGTCGGGAGCCACAACCTTGGCACGAGTAACAAACAAAAAAAAGAGTGGTTATCCGCCGCCCAACTTTGTTTGTTCCCGGATTCAACTACCAACACCAGACACCAACTGAAACTTGCGCTTTCCGAGCATTGTCAAACACCATGAACATTTCCAATCCTGTGTCCTCTGAAGTCACAGGAGTCAATTTCACCTTTCTCTGCAAAGACGACATCACAAAACTCTCTGTCAAACAGGTCGTCAATCCTGCGACTTTCGAAACTGTTATTCCCGGAAACGTTCCTGTGCCGGTAGTGGGCGGCTTGTACGATCCAGCACTCGGAGCTTCCGATGCGCTGAGGCAGCGGTGCGTTTTCCTATGTGTCTCGTGTCTTGTATTGAATTGGATTAAATAGAGGTTTGCTAATGCGCTCGTTATTTATTCAGGTGTTTGACATGTCACCTTGACTACAAGTATTGTCCCGGCCATGTCGGGCACATTTCATTGCCCGTGCCGGTTTACCATCCTTTGTTTTTTGATCAGATGTTGAAGATGCTGAGATCTTCATGTCTTTACTGCTTTCACTTTCGGATGGCCAGGGCAGAGGTTAATCGTTTCGAGTGCAAACTTAAACTCATTCAATACGGGCTGTTGGTCGAGGCCGCGGAATTAGACGATATCCATCCTAATACGAGGGGAGAGGAAGAGGGCGAGGAAGGTGAGTTTTCTGGAAGCACTGAAATGGAAGCTTTTTATGCAAAGCGGGAAAAGTTTGTGGCGAGGGCCATTCGAAGGCATTTGCGCTCTGGTGGCTTGGATGAGGGGAAGGTCATGTCAGTTGCGGAGGAACGGAGGAAAGTTGTCAAGGAGTTTCTCAGCACTATCCAGTTTCCAAGAAAGTGTAATAGGTGTCAGGCGTAGGTTTCCCCAATCGCGAGTTGGATTTGTTTCTTTTTGCTAATTTCGGGTAGAATTTCACCAGGATTCCGAAAAGATGGGTACTCAAAAATTTTCGAGGTACCGCTTACCCCCAAAGCACAAAGCCAGAATGTCCAATACGGCTTCCAAAGACCCAATGCAGCTATGATGCAGAAGAAGCCTAACCGCTTGCCGGAAACAAAGAATCATGATCTCAATGTCATGGAGCTTGACGACGGGATCTCTATGCAGGTTCAGGAAGAGGAGGAGGGTGAGGAGGATATTGCTAAGTTACAGGAAGCGCAAGAGCGGAAGGGTGCTGCTGGCCGTCTTCTACATAGCATGGAGGTTCTGAACAACCTTTCGCGACTTTTCGAGAAGGAGAGGGAAATTCTCCAACTACTATACCAACCAAGAGAAGCTATTTCGAAGACCCCAAAACCTCTAACACCTGAGATGTTCTTTATCCACGCTATCGCTGTTCCACCAACCAAGTTCAGACCCCCTCAGGCTGCCGGAGGTGAGATTTCCGAGTCAGCAACAAACAAGCAGTTAGTAAAGATTCTACAAGGATGCCTAGCCATCCGTGATTACAATGACAAATTCAACAACCCGGAAATAGAGGCTGGGGCGAAAACCGTCATCATCAGCAAGCTGATGCAAGCCTTTGTAACCCTCCAAGACGACGTGAACTCGTTCTTAGACTCATCGAAAAGCCCGCTTACTGGCGCGGCCGCAAGAACATTAGAGGAAGGTATCAAGCAGAAACTTGAGAAGAAGGAGGGCCTATTCCGAATGAACATGATGGGGAAGCGTGTGAATTTTGCCGCCCGATCAGTTATCTCTCCTGATCCGAATATTGAGACAAGAGAGATTGGCGTACCACCGGTATTTGCAAGCAAGCTTACGTACCCCGAACCAGTGACAGAAATCAATCATCAATGGTTAATGCGACTAGTGGTTAACGGGCCGGATAAGTGGCCGGGTGCAGTGGCGATTGAGATGGAAAATGGCTCTGTTCAGAGGTTGCCCGGAGATAAAATTTCAAATGCACGTCAGAAGAGAATCCACCTCTCTAAAACACTCTTGACTCCAGACGCGCTTTCTTTGAGTGACTCAAAGTCCAAGAGAGTTCATAGACATTTGCTCAATGGAGATGTTGTGTTGATGAACCGTCAGCCAACGTTGCATAAACCCTCTATTATGGGACATATCGCGAAGGTTCTTCCTAAGGAACGTACGATCCGTATGCACTACGCCAACTGTAATACTTATAATGCAGATTTTGATGGCGATGAGATGAACATGCATCTTCCTCAAAACGAGGTTGCCAGAGCTGAAGCAAAGGAAATTGCTAACACGGATTCGCAATACCTTGTTCCAACCTCCGGCAAGCCGCTTCGCGGTTTGATTCAGGATCACTTGGTAATGGGTGTTTGGCTCACGAATCGGGATACAATGTTTACGAGGGATGAGTACCAGCAATTGCTCTACTCGTGTCTTTTGCCAGAGAGTAACGCTTTATTCAAGGGTAGGAGTAGCCGGATTATCACACTGCCACCCTCGATAATGAAACCGAATCGACTATGGACCGGAAAGCAAGTCATCACAACCATTCTGGAGAATATAAAGCCGAAGTATTTCCACGGATTGACACTCTACTCAAAATCGAGGACCCCCGGCGATAGTTGGCATCCAGGATGTGAGGAGGGGCAGGTCATATTTCATGATGGTTACTTCGTGTCAGGTATTCTGGACAAAAGCCAGCTGGGCCCTAGTGAGTTTGGGCTAATACATTCCCTCTATGAGATATACGGTTCTACGGTTGCTGGAAGTATGTTGAGTATTTTGGGGAGGCTGTTGACCAAATTCTTACACATGAGGGCACATACGTGCGGAATGGATGACCTTTTGCTCACTCCCGATGGAGACGCTAATCGTCGCAGTGTCCTCAAGGGGTCCAAGAGGGTCGGAAACGACCTAAGCGCAGAATACGTTGGATTAGAAAAGGACAGCGTCAACTCAACTGAACTTGCTGCGAGACTGGAAGAAGTCTTGAGGGATGAGAATAAGTCGCGGACGCTGGATCTGAAGGCCAATGCGCAAACTAAGAATTTTACGTCGCAGGTTATTGGGCAATGCCTTCCATCCGGCTTGCAAAAGCATTTTCCGAGAAACAATTTCCAAGCAATGACTGTTTCCGGCGCGAAGGGTTCCGATGTCAATGCGAGCCAGATTTCCTGCCTACTCGGACAGCAAGTCCTCGAGGGTAGGAGGGTTCCAGTAATGGTTTCCGGAAAGACTCTGCCCTGTTTCAAGCCCTTTGAAACTGATGTTAGAGCCGGAGGATATATTACTGATCGCTTCTTGACTGGCGTTAGACCTCAGGAGTATTATTTCCATTGCATGGCTGGAAGAGAAGGGCTGATTGATACCGCGGTCAAGACGAGTAGATCTGGATACTTGCAAAGGTGCTTAATCAAAGGCATGGAGGGCATTCAGGTCCACTATGACAATACTGTGAGAGACAGTGATGGATCGCTAGTCCAGGTATATCCTCCCACTTGCTCTCACGAATCTAGCTAATTGGCCCACTTTTATAGTTTCTGTATGGCGAGGACGCTTTGGATGTTTCAAAGCAAAAACATTTGAAGCAATTCAAGTTCTTGGCGCAGAACATCAATTCGGTTGTACGGAAATTGGTCGATGATCTTGTTAATGAGGATTTGGGCCCAAGGATACAGAGACTTAGTGATCAGCTCAATCTTGGTGTGGGTTCTGAGCATATGAAGAAGGCGATGAAGAAATACAAGAAAACCGGTAATCTAGTAGCTTCGGAGGTTACAATGTCACTGTACAGTCCTAGCCGGTTCCTCGGAAGTGTTTCAGAAAACTTTGCCTTGGCAAGGGAGAAGGTTTGTTATGTATCCCCCTGCGGCCGCGGCATGATGATCTAGAACTAACAATTGCCAGTACCTAACGGAAGACCCTGACGGAATTATTGTCAGCTCGAAGCGCAGTAAACACCTTGTGGGTAGTCAAATGTCAAGAGGTCTTGACAAGAGCGAGTTCAGGCATTTGATGGCTCTCAAATACCTGCGATCCGTAATTGAACCCGGAGAAGCTGTTGGTATCATTGCTGGACAATCTATTGGTGAGCCTTCGACACAGATGACACTCAATACTTTCCATCTGGCCGGCCACGCTACCAAGAACGTTACATTGGGTATTCCGCGCCTGAGAGAAATTGTCATGACAGCTAGTGCTACCCTCGCAACTCCTAGCATGATCTTGACCCTCCGACCGGAGGTCTCAGATCGCGACGCTAAGATTTTCGCCAAACGGTGTAGTAAACTGCTGCTATCCGAGGTCATTGATAACATCTCAATAATAGAAAACCTAACAAAAACCTCCAAGGAGTACCTTCTCCGACTAGAATTATTCCCGGCTTCAGATTACGAGGAGGAATACTCCATCACCAAGCGCCAAGTTCTCAACATTCTCAAAAAGGTCTTCCTCGCTCAACTCGAGCGCGCAATCAACAAGGTCTTAAACCCCAAGAAAGCAAAGAGCAAAGAGCGTATAGGAAAAGACGACGCAATGCCAAACATAGGCGAGAGCTCTGGCACAATTGAGGAAGCTCCAAGGTATGCGCGGGCTGCTGCGGCCGATGCTGAGGACGGGGATGCCAACAGCGACGACGAAGGCGAGGACGACGCCACTAACGCCAAACAACGAAGCAGGAAAGCCGAAGCTGTCAGCTATGATAACCCAGACGACGATGAAGAGGAAATCTCCCGTCGCGCCCAAGCGTCTGATAGCGATAACGAAGGTGAAGACCAGACGGATGAAGGACTAGGCACCGACATAAACATGCAGGAGGATCGCAACCCGATAGACAAGGCCAAGGGAGGTAAAAAGGCTACCATCTCCCACGATTGGATCTCTGACAACATCAAGAAATTCGAATTCGACAAGGAGGGTGGCCAGTGGTGTGAAGTGAAACTACAGTATCCGGTTGAGGCGCCGAAGGTGCTCATGTTACCTATCGTCGAGAAAGTTTGTCGGGAAACTGTGATTCACGAACTTAGTGGTATCGGGTCGGTAGCAAAGGTTCCGGCATCAGATATGACGAAGGAGGAACAGGCTGCGGGCAAGGCACGTTATCTTTGGATCCTCGGACAACTTGTAACACCATGTCTAACAGATTTCTAGTGTAAATTGGCCGTGGAGGGTGTAAATTTCAGCGCTTTTTGGAACGAACAGGAATCGATCGATCCCAACACCTTGGAAACCAACGACATCGCCGCGTTCCTCCGTGTCTATGGAGTTGAAGCAGCAAGGGGTAACATAATTAAAGAAATGAACGCCGTTTTTGGAGGGTAATTCTCCCCTCCCACATGCATCTCCCCCATTCTAACCTCTGAACGCTAACCGCCCAGTCACGGTATTTCCGTCAATATCCGTCACCTGAACCTCATCGCCGACACCATGACCCGCGGCGGCGGCTTCACCCCCTTCAACCGTCAAGGCCTAAAGACCAGCGTGTCTCCATTCTTGAAGATGAGTTTTGAAACAACATGCAATTTCCTCACCGAAGCCGTGAGCGAAGGCGATTTTGACTCTCTCACTAGCCCCAGCTCGAGAATCGTGCTAGGAAAGTTATCAGGGGTTGGGAGTGGGAGCTTTGATGTGTTGGTTGGGGGCTTGCAGGGCCAGCTCGGGCAGACTCCGTTGTACTAGGGAGTTGACAATAGTCGGGTCCACTTCCAAAAAAAGATGCGGCATTTATATGTGGACTAAACTAATTTAGGAAATGTGAGTGACATCTGGTGAGTATTTTTTGGTGTTGGTACAAAGTCGGGTCCAGTTTGGGAGTGGGGAGTTCCACAAGCAATATCTAATAAGTACAATTAGAAAAAGAAAGAAGTCTACATCAAGTACAAATCTGGTGATTAGGCTGTCCATGGGGTAGTTTTAACTTGGTTGAGATTTCCGTATTAGATGGCATATCCTTTATACCCAGGTGCGCTATTCTCCACTACTGTCACCTACCCGTAGTCCTCCTATAACGATGTTAAAACAGAACGAGATGGGGATACATGATTCCTTACATATAAGGTGGAATCAACCTTACCTTTACTAGGTATAAGAACTAACTTAGATTGCATTGTCTAATAAAACCTACCACAAACAATCCTACTCTCATATTTAGACTCAAAGATGGCATCAACTTAGTTTACATGGAATACCTCACTTGGTTTACAGGTGATTCAAAGAAAATTATCAAAACTATTAGTCAAAAAGTTTAATTGATCTGTCTATATAACATGTATAGCCACTCATCAAAGTTCCAATTTAAATGTTTGTGATACCAGGTGATACGGAGAGGATGGTTGGCTGGTTGAATGGCAAACTTTCTTTATAGCATCTACCTATAGTAGTCCATTGACTTCATTACACTTTTGACAGGTTGTAGGCTATAGCAATACTCATCAGCAAAAATAATTACTTGTATCCTACATGTCCAGTGTAGCAGATGCAAGGGACATCTAAACATGTATTATTAACCAGGACATGACATCCAATTAGAGGTCATATCCTGATTTCTGTTATGTATTGTCCTAAGTTACAATTGTATCTAGATAAAGACCCCTTTGTTGTGTGTATCTTGCCAGTATTTTATTGTCTGCGATTATGACTCAATGCTATCTGATCATTTACCTGGAGGTCTAGACAATGTCTGCCTATCAAGATGGACATTTATCTGATATTTGATCTTCTAACCAGATATGTAGACATTGTCTAATCTTTTACCTGAATGTCTAGATGACACCTAATTCTCTGCTCCTCCATCCTGAGACCCTTACATGTGTTTTCTCACATCAAGATGGTAATAATTTTTGTCCCATCTCATTAGGATACCAAGTTGATTAAGCATTTTGTTCAGGGGTCTGGTAATTACAAACTGTTATATTCTGAACCATACTAGTACTGCATACCATATTTCAATATTTGTCTACTCGTTCTTGACTTCACCTTACATGTATTGTCACACACTGATTGTACTTTCTAACTTCTGGACATGATTCGGACACATTCGTGTACCATGTGCATTGTTCCTGACATTTTATTTATTCTATAATAGCTGTTCTGACCTCCCTATAACTTTCTCTTCTTTTTCCCCAAGGTCTATGTCTATTCAATTCCTTCATAAATGCACTACTGCACTAATAGTTATACTAATACTGATAATGTTAGCAGTTCACTGTTGTACTTTATTGCTTACCATCTCACAATACTGCTTTGTCCAATGAATCTATTATTATTACCTTTGACATAGCTTTAATTATGTTTAATCTTCCATCCTAGGATACTCGTTAGGCTTTAACAACTCAATGTCTGGTTGAAGATCATAAACTCCTGCCTGGAGTACCTGGACATCCTATGACCTTTTAAGGCTAAGTGAGAGGCAATCAGATAGGAAAGAAATAAACAGCTCAAGCAGTGTCAATTATACACTGTATGCTCTAAGATGATCCAAACTTGCTTGATCTGAATCTAAAATACCCAGCATACTTGCATATAACATCTGGCTCACATTGAATGAAGTGTTCATTTTCTGCCACTTACTCAGCTTATCTCTATGTTGCTCTAAACAGCCTAGTCTAATTCTTGGTTTGTAGCACTATTGGCTTTGTTATCACCAGATGGGATTCTCAACTAGTTAGTTCTTCCCAAACTTCCTTCCAATTATAGTCATATTATTTGCAGTGCTCTTCCTGTATTCCATATACCAGCTCCACTTTCCTCTAGATTGTATCGCAGATATTGTGAAGAATCCTGTCCTGGATGGTAAGTGGGTAATTGGATCATATTTCTTTCTACTGTTAAATAAGTTCTTTTATGTCCAGTAACATGTTAGCAGTTTGGCTACCATCTGTGTCCTATGAGATTTAAAAAGTCTTCTTCCTGCTTGTTCAGGTCTAAGATCTCTTGAATCCTAGTATATACCTGATTGCCATGCATCTAGTGTATGGCAATTTTAGTGCATATCAATCAAATCATTATGCTATTGATCTGTCCCACAAATCTAGGATTGGCTATGCCCCTCATTTGCTTTTCCTCAAAATACTTCCTCTCTCCTGCTTCTGGAATCTACTAGTAGATTTTATAACTTTATAATGTTATTCTTCACATTATTCATGGATTGTAATTGTACTTTTCAGTATTCTTAGTGAATCATCCCTGGTTAGTAGAGTAGATTGCATGTTGTCATGCCTGGTGCATGTAACTTACTGAAGATATAGACTACTCTCATAGTTCGTTGGATTCAGTAGTAGGGCTTCTCTCTACTGCCGCGTCCTACACTTTGAGCACCTAACTAGTTAATGTAACCACACTCAGGAGTAGGTCTTCAAACAGAGTATACCATGTAATATGTAACTTTACCAACTCTGCAATGGTCTGATCTGCACTAGTTACTAGGTTCTGTCACAACTTACTAACTAACGAGTTGACTGGAAGTAGTGTACGTAGGTAGCCAGCAGGACTAGAGTTTCTAATACCTGAAACTGAAGTATTAAGGCTTTTACATGGTGACTAAAGCTACTTGAAATTGGCTGATGGAAATATGGATAGACTTAAGGTTAGTGGTGAGTTATTCATCCAGGACTCCCAGGCGATGGTAAAGCTGGGTAAGCCGATTGTATTTTGGAGCCGGTTAATATTCTAACTATTGTCATATAAGGGCTGTGCAGTTGCACAGTTGCTAGACAGTCATTAGTCAGTTGTGGTGTGGACAAATCAGTAATATCAATATGGTCCAGATCAGACTCGATGTCTGATTTTCTTTTCTCCAATCCTGGTGACTTTTAGTACTCATTACTACTGTCTTTTCTAACCTAGACAGTTTTCAGATGCTCTTGAATTTCAGGTACCAGTTTGGTATACGCTGTAGTTTTTACAATATTTATTTGGAGGCGCTTTGGGGGTCTTGCTAGTTGTCAGCTAGCATATGAGGGTGGTGACGAATTTGAAAGTAATGGCTACTCTGTTGGTAGTATGCTGTGACAGCTACCATGTATCTTTTAATGTATTGCCAATATTGGATTTCTCACACCTCTAGTACTTAGTCCAATGTTGTTTTACGCAGCCTGTACCTATTGCCTATATGGTTAGTTGGCTGTGTAGAGGCATTAGGGCGATCTTGATTATATGTTCTGTAATGAGTCAGTTAAGGTCAAGTTCAGATTCAGAATGTAGGCCTACTGAATGAGTCTAATAAGTACTGTAGATAAGGAGTATATATGGTTCTCTGATATTAAATATGATACATGGGATCTTATATGTCTGGACTTACTACAGGAGTTAATGTCTGTAGGATTATAAACTATAGCTCAGTATCAAACAAAAATTATTTCCATGCGCAAGGTCTTCCTATGAGTTTGAGTCCTTAATAGTAAATTTGCAATGTATATTCTTGCAATTAATATCAGGTTAAAGTTCTGGAATAAAAAAAAGAACTAGATTAAATGAACGTGTTACTAGTAAGTTAAGGTCATACAAAGGTAAGAATATAATGCATTATGCTTTTCAAGAACTTGAATATTATATTCCTTTACAAAAACATAATTCTTGGTGTTTGAGCGTCTGGTCACTCAAGGCTCTGAGTCTCAAGTATGAAGAAAATAAAGTAGCAGTAAGAAGAAAAACCTTAGTTTGATCAAACTACAAGTGGTGTTGACTAGTAACACTATTTCTGATGAGACTCACCTCATACTTAAAAAAGACTAGGAGTATGTAGTTGCATTGAGAGATGTCAAAGAACTCATCTATGAGCTGTATTTAAGTGATACCACCTAGTCAATTGAGTTAAAAGACTGGACAACATGAGGCCAGTAGGGACAGAGAATGTGACATCTCATGTATTTATAAAATCAAAAGCAGCCATTGCACTCTAAGGAGCATATAGTCAATACAACTACTTGAGTCGCATATACTAGTATATTCTGCACGATAGTGGTTGAACATAATAAGAATGTAAGAAGCTAATACAAGGGCGTCCAATTGAATCACTATTATGGCAAACTATGAAGTATAACTAAGCCTGAAGAAAAACCCCAATCCCTGAATCATGAAACATTGTACAACAAATAACACAAAAAAGTAAAGTCAGAGAAGAAAACGTCCTAGGAAGAACAACTGGTTAGAGTTCCAATGTCGGCTGCTACAGCTGAAACCTCAGTGTTTCAGAGTCATTGGAGCATCAGCAGTGGAGGAGGTTGAAAGCCCAGGCAGAACTAAAATATGGGCTACCAGTAAGGTTGTGAAAGCAGGCGGACAGGTTGTAGAAAGGAAAACAGGAGCTGCAGGAGAAGGCTGAACAGCAGCTGCATTGGTATTCACAGGATAAAAAACAGTGGTTACCAATTGTGCTCCAGTTACAGGAGGAGCAGTGATGGGACAGGTAGAAGACGAGGTAGCAATTGAAGTGCCAGTCCAGTCAGAAGATGGCAGAGCGAGTGGAGTACTAGGAGGTGAGGAGAACGGGAGAGCAAACAGAGCACCAAGAGATGCAGAAGACTAGACAGAGATTAGAGTGATGGGAGACTCAGAAGATGGCAGAGTAATTACAGTAGGTGGAGACGCAGATGACAGTAGAGCAATTGCAGCTCAGAGAAATGAAAAGAACAGGAAAGCAATCAGAGTATGGGAAGATACTGGAATGGGGGCTTACTTGGGGAAGATGGATCTACAAGTTGCGACCGTATGGAGATGAATTCTTGTGGAAGGAATTGTAAGAAGAATTTAACGTGTCAGCAGTACAGATTGAAGAAATAAAATAGTAAAACCTAATGTGATTAAGCTACAGCTTTACCCAATTAAGTCTGAATCTTGAGAGATAGTTGATTGCCAGAGTAGAGGAGAGCTTATATATACTTAAG